TATTATATTTTATTAAAAATGAAAATATTTTTTATTTAATTTTTTTAATTATTATCAATAAATTTCAGTTCTTCGTTCTTGATACTGCATGTGTTATCATTTTTACTGTGGAATATTTATTACGTTTATTTGCTGCTCCAGATAGGTGTAAATTTTTACATTCAATAATGAGCATGATTGATGTCATTGCTATTATGCCATATTATGTTGGTCTTGGATTTACCAATAAAAAGGATGTTTCGGGTGCATTTGTCACTTTACGTGTCTTTGTAAGTTTATATTTTACTTTCAAATATTTCTTTTATTTTTTTTAAATGATCATAATTAAACTGAAACAAACAAAAAATACAGCAAAATTGCTAGTTGACTATTTTTAAAAATAAAAATTATTAATCAAACATATGAAATTTTGCTGATTATAACTTTTTTTTTAAAATATAAATTATTTAACTAAATGTATAGTTATATTTTTTTTTTGTTTTTTAAAATATAAAATATTAATTATTTATATAGTTTTTTTGATAATGTTCTTTTATTCCTACATTATTGATTATTGTTATTACATTTTCTTTTTTTTCTTACATTATTAATTAGTTATTGGTTTATGCTTAGAAAAATTGTTAATATTTCGTGTCAAAAAATAATTGTTGCAGATTATTAGATGTATTTAAAAAAAAAAAGAAACTTCTTTTTTTTGAAACAATAAAATAAGCTAACAATAGTAGTAAATAATTAGCATAATTAAGCTGAAAAATGTAACATAATTTAAATGTCGTTATGACAGATGTGGAATATGCCAACTGCCAGCAACATTTTTGATGAATCACATGTAATCAATCAAATATTGCTAATTTTAAAATAATTAATTGGTTTAATCAAAAGTTGTCTTGATTTTTTGGTGTTCATATTTGCTTCGTTTTTTAGCAAAAAAAAAAAAAAAAAAAAAAAAGAAGGAAGAACAGGAAAATAATCTTTAAAACATATCTGAAAAATTGTTTTACTTTCCTTTTTTCGCTTTTCATTCCTTTTTTAATAATGAAAAAAATAAAACGACATAAACGACAGATGGTGAAAATAAATGGAAATAAATTGTTTCAGGGTAATGCAAATAAAAGAAACAAAAATAAATTATTTAACTTTTCAAAAATAACACATGCTTGAGAAAAAAAATAAATGAAGAATAATTTTTTTTTTTTTTTGATTTGAACAAATTGTTACATTATATGAGAAATGATCAAAATGATTGGTTAAATGATTTTTTATCAAACGGTAAGGTAAAATATAATAGAAAAAATATAATACCATACAATTTTTGTAACATCAGAAAAAAAATCTATATATAATTTTGAATGATTAGTAACATGATTTGTAAAATCAGAAAAAAAAAATATATATATATATATATATATATTATTTTGAAATCTGAAATCTTTAATAAATAATTTCATAAGATTTTAAAAAGTGTGAAATTAAAACATATTTAATTGCTAGCTTTTTTCAAATGATTTAAGTATTTTTACTTTCTTTTTTCCTTTTTTCCTTGTTAATATATTATTATCAAGTTTTGTTTTTCTTTTCTGTTTATTTCAGCGGGTATTTCGAATATTTAAATTTTCTCGCCACTCTCAGGGTTTACGCATACTTGGTTATACGCTAAAATCATGCGCCAGTGAACTTGGTTTTCTTGTATTTTCATTAGCTATGGCAATAATTATTTTTGCAACAATAATGTATTATGCGGAAAAAAAAGTTAATGATACCCGTTTCACCTCAATACCAGCTGCATTTTGGTATACAATTGTTACTGTAAGTTTTATTTTTTTCTCTTCTCTTTTTTGAAACAAATAATTAAAATTTAATTGATTAGAAATAAAAAGTTGAAAAATTATTGTATTATTGTTTTCTTCAAGGTGTAATAATAATAATAATAACAACAATAATAATAATAATAATATTAATTAGAAATGAATAATAATTATAAATAAATGATGCAATCGCTAAGGCAGTGTAATGTAATATAATTGCAAGAAATGCTTGTGGATAAAATATAAAATTATTTAAGTTATTTATTTAAAACTTCAGCTTACTAAAGTTTTTAAAATTCGATTTAAAAAAAAAAAAATATGCTAGTGATTTTTTCTGACAACAAAACAAGAAAAGGAAAATTTTGCTAGTGAAAAATTTTCATCATTATTGAAATCAATAAAACCAAATAAGAATATTTTTGTTAGTCGATTAGCAGTAAATAAAAAGTGACAATGATCTAATTCGAGTAATGGTGTCAAAAAATTTAAATTAGATCTGTAACATATGTTATATTGGTATATGTTTCTGAAAATAAAACAAAAGAAGAAAAATTTTATTAATTGTAATGGAATGTACGATGATGAATTATATGAAATGAAAAAAATTTTTTTTGAGCAAAATAAAATCAGTAAAAATGATTGAAATATTGGGGAATAATTTATAGATGACAACTCTTGGTTATGGTGATATGGTACCAGCAACAATTATGGGTAAAGTTGTTGGCGGTGTTTGTTCCCTTAGTGGCGTTTTAGTAATTGCACTTCCAGTTCCAGTAAGTTTTATCTCTCTATGTGTATTCTGATAAATATTAGGTTGAGTTTAACTGTAGTAGTTTATTAAATAATTGCTTACTACAAAATTATGCAATATCTTGTTGTTACTGTAAATGTTTAAAAAAAGAAATTGATCATTTTTAATAAAATATTATCTATTATTATTATAGGTAATTGTTAGTAATTTCTCCCGAATATACCATCAAAATCAACGTGCTGATAAGAGGAGAGCTCAAAAGGTAAAATAACAATAAAAAACGTAAAAAATAAACAAATGCATATGTGTGTGTATGTTTAAAAAATCATATAAAAATTTTTTTTTTGAAATTTGCTGAATTTTTACTTTTAAATTTCATATCAGTCGATATGATTGATAAATTGATCAAATATTCCAGAAAGCTCGATTGGCTCGTATTCGAATTGTTAAAAATGCCAGCGGCAAAGCATTGTTTAGCAAGAAGAAAGCACATGAAGCACGAATGCAAGCGTTCGAACAAGGATTATTAAGCTTTGATTCATTAAAAGATGATGATATTTTTGAAATTCAGCATCGACATTTGTTACAATGTCTAGAAAAAGCTACCGTAATTAATTAATTATTTTTTTTTTAATGAAATAATTTTCATTACATTTTTTTAAAACACACTAAAGAATTAAATGGAAATGATTTGATATTTGAAAATGTGAGCATTGAACGAACAAATGTGCTACTGTTCTTAAACTATTCAAACTAATGCATATATCAAAATGTTTAAAAGAAAAATAAAGAAAATATTTAAATACTTAAAACATATTTAAACTTAAAGTTGATATTGATTTTTTGTCATAAAATTTTGCTGTATTTCTTATCATATCTAGAAGTTTTTTTTATTGCATTCAAAAGAAAATTTGTTAGCAATAAAAAATTAAAAATATTTTTGAAATAAGTTCGAAATTTCTTTTTTTCTCTCTCCCAGAATTTAAGTGAGGGAAAGAATATTTGAGAAATATTACATTATGTAAATATACATTTGTTATAAATAATTTTTCTAGGAAAGAGAGTTAACTGAAAGAGATATTGTGTTCAGTGATAGCTTACGAACCACTCCACCAATCAGTCCGTCCACATCGCAGGGTTTGTTACCAGGAGATAACAAGGGACATTCACGATGGTTCGATTGTTGCAATTCTTGTCTCAGTGAGTTTGGTTTAATTCAAACTGTACTCGATAAATTTATTCACTGAATATTCAAAAAAGTATCACAATATCTAAACTATTTGATCCATTAATTTAAACCGTAGTCAAACCTTAGCTACCACAAGAGACAGGAATTTGAATATAAATCGGAATAGCGTTTAACAGAAATGATTATCCTTGTAATTTAAAAGTATTTGAAACTATTCTGAATTTCTTCCAAAATTCACCAGAAAAATATATCAGAGACTACCATCTGTTTCTTGAAAAAAAAAAGACAATCTCTTTTCCTTTTCCTTTTACAAAATTTGTTCCAGGAGAATTTTAAGAGATATTTAAAAAATTGCATAAGCTGCAGAAAACTCGCGCGATACTAGTTTCAACAGATCAACAACGACAAACAGGAAAGAATCGTTGTATGAGTCCAGCAAAAGTGATTGCAAATGGCGATCCGCGGATGGACAGCAAGAACAACAACAGCAACACCAAATGGATCAACGAAAACCGGAAAATACCCCTGAAGCAAACCGTTTTTTTAGCACTTCAAGATTTTGAAACACTATACGAATCATCTTGATATCATGATTATTACCGATCGGGGAAATCAGTCTACAAATGTGCCAAATATACGCTCAGGTAATGAAACAAAATTTTTTGCCACTATACGGATGGATGAATCTGATGGACGGGTATACGGTTAAAGAGGACCAATCAGAATTAAAATTTGTCACTTCATTTGATTGTTCTTGCTGAGAGAAAAAAAGGATTCTCAGTTTGTGAATTGGATATTTTGTTCCTTTGATGAAAATAATTAAACAAATACATCTCATTCAATACTTCCCACTGAAAACAACGTGACATATGCGTGTGAGTAATATATAAAATCGAGTTGTAAATGCAAATTTCTCATCAGATAGTTTTTAGAGAAATCCGTTCAGAAACTATTGAGTCTATTGGAATCTTTTAAACCTATATATATTGACTACGCTTTTTTTTTTAATTCACTCATTCTAACAAAATTATTTATAACAAAGAGTTGAATGCATGTAGCTATCTGCTCATCATTAAAGAAAAACAGTAAAAATTTCTTTCTTTAAGGGATACCATTTTTCCATTTTGTTAAGATTGCTAAATTTTCTTTCAATTTTATGCAACTAATTATGTATATGTTAGCAACGAAAAAAAAGATACAAAAATCATTTTATGCTGAATAGATAGATCATTTAAAAAAAAAAAAAAAAATCATTTTATGCCGATACTGCTGAAAACATCCTGGACAAATCATTTAAAAAAAAATATTGCCATTTACTGATCAAATGAGTGAGCGGGAGGATTTCGTCGATTAATGAAAAAAAAGGAGGGAGTAAAAAAGAAACGCTGCTAATACCATCAAACTAAATTAGAATAACAAAGTATACACAGGTTGAAGTAAGAACAGTATTTAGAAAGAAGCTAGCTAAGGTTATACCAGAAACTAAGAAAAAACAAAATGATATATATTATGTAAAAAATAACACATTTTTCATATTGATGAGTACTGGCAAATAATACAAAGGTTCAAGGATAGTATTGTAGAATCACTTCAATATTTCCTAAGTGCTGATGAAGTTTATATGTCCGATCCAAACATATAATAAACGTCCCGGTTTATGAACAGTAAAACCAATAATGCTTTCGCTGCCTCATTCGCAATCTTAAAAGTCCAGCAAAGTATCGTAATACATTTCCGGTTTACCATCTGAGTTTTAAAACCACAAAATTTGGTTTAAATAACAGCCGATAGCTTTTAAGATAAAGTAATATGATAAAAACAATGAAAACGAATAAGTGAAGGAAAACAAACGCCGTTCTCTTCGTGGTTAACAGTACTCGTAAACTTGTTATTGGATAAACAATATTTGTCCCAAAATAATGCAGTCACCAAATATGTACAAAGTGATACGTATTCTATGCAAAATAGTAATCAACAACACATATATGCGTAGAAAGCAGATCGGAAAGATTCAAATTTCTTTCTTTTCTTTTATGGCTTCGCAATGACTGCGACAACGAAAAACATGACTGATAAGACCAAAAGGAAGATGAAAACAAAATAAAAGGAAATTACAAATGAAATTTGAAAAGAAACAATCATCACTGGAATGACAAATGATCGATTGTGTGGGAAAGAATTGCATCTCCTTTTCAATACGCCTAATGCGTGAATTGTCACAATAAATGCATTATTCTGTCCAGTAACAAACACAATCGAACAAATGTATGTAAATACATTGTACATATATATGTACAAAAAATCTAAAAAAAATGGAAATGATTCCATGCTGTCATAGAGATTCTATCTATTCTTTAAATGTAACTATTGCTTACTTCCAGTATCTATCCACCGCTATGGAAAAGGAAAGAATCTTCTAGGACAGCAAATAAGATAATCATACTGGAACTGGAATAACAACGGAATTTTGGTGATAATTGAATTATTCGGAAAAATAAAGAAGATGACATCTTAGCAGCAAACTACAAAGAAACCGAGTTGTAAAAAAACTTAAGCAATTTGTTTCAAAAAAATGTGCTCGTCAGTTCATCAAAAAAAAAACAAAAAAACAAAAAAAGGCATTAGAAGTCTCCATTCACTCCTTTCCGCCACTAAATTTTCAACGGTGGCTTTTATACATCAATAAAACGATATCCTTTGCGACTCAAAACAGTTTTCAAATGATCGATTTCTTTGCGCTCTTCTTCTAGGGTTTCATTTTCACCAACCTGCAATGCTTAACCTTCCCACTATGCAGCAAATTATAAGCAGTGACGAAAAAAAAAAAAAAAAAAAAAATCAGAAATTTCAATAAACTAAGTATCACTCACAGTATTAACTTCTCTGCAGTTGTACTCATCGCATTAAACCTGACTTATAGGGATACTTGGATATGTACATTACTCGCCGCTGTATGGTCATAAATAAAGAAACCTGAGTTTTTAATTTTCTAGCAAATATCTGGCCATAAGTCATAATGAGAAATGCTCGTTGCTGCCTTGAAGTATAAAACTTTTTCACGAAAGAACAACAATTTAATATTTGCGTCAAGTTTTTACCAAATTAAATGTATTCTCAGCCTCTTCGTCAAGCACATCTTTTGGCTCATTATTGACCAATTTACAGCGCAAACTTGGCTTTCCGAGTATAAGTGAAGCAAAGAATACATCATGTGACCGATCATCTACCAGTAGATATTGCGCTATTCCAGCATCAAAAACCTCAAATAAAAAACAAATCTTTAAACAACAATAGAGGAAAAAACGACTATCTGTTTCCACAGCTCTTACTTATGAACATAGATCACTGAATTAATAAGTGTTTAAAAGAAAGAAAAAAAAATGTTATTTACTGCTGAAAGGCTGATTAGCGCAATACTTACAGTAATGTCACCATTAAATTCCCATGCCGAATTCCAGTTCTTGACCAAATGAAGCACATCCTTGATCCTAATATCAGGACAAGTTGGTTTCATAAGTCTAGTAGAAATATCTTTCTGACGTGCACCAAGGGGACGATACATCTGCAATATTCAGCAATAAACATTCATCCACAATTCACAAAAAAGGTGTAAACATCAAAAAAAAAAAAAAAAAAAAAAAAAAAGAAAAGATAATAATAATAATGGTATCAAATGCAATCTTTTCAAAAAAATAAATCCTGAGATATCTGAATCATCACATTTGGTATCAAATAAACGACCATTTTTTTTTTTAAAAAAAACATGTGGAAATCTGAGGATGTGTTAAGTATATTCTTGTACTTTGTATTTTAGTTTGGCAAATTTTATGTATTGTCAGTTTTAAATATTAGTCTGCTAATAACAATATCCAGTTCCTCATGTTAAAAAATGAAATTTAGGCAAATAAACCCATCAATTTGAGAACTAGCTTTTTAAAGTTGAGGATTAGCTTTTTATCTAACTTTTATATTGATTTGGTAAAATAAGTAATTTATTTAATGCTTGATTATAAAACCGAAAATTATATTAATTATGAGACAAATTTTTTCAAAAACTTTCAAACAACAAACATAAACAAAAAAAGAAAAAAACAACAACATAATGAAGCAAAAATTTTAGGATGAAAATTTTCGAGGAAAAAAAAGCAAACCTATGATACCTGATAATGAAACCCAGCCAGTATCACATAACCGACTAAAATAACTTAAAGTGACTAAACCAACAAATTAAAATGACCAAATCAACAAATGAAAACAACTTCTACATTTCACAGTAGCCACTATTAACATACATCAACGTATCACAAATTTCATCACCGTCATCTAACGTGATTAGGCGGAATTTTGAACACCATGAAAATTACTGTAAACCGCAAGCGATACGATAGGATGTAGAGGAGGATGGAAAAAGTCCCTGTTTCCTGATTTTACAACCGTATCTTTCGGATGATTTACCTGATTCGTTATTATTTAATATATTTATTGTGAGAACTTTTTTTTTAAATCCATATGCAAAAATTCCCTCAGATTTGTTCTAAAACGTCAACAAATTTTGTTATACCTTAACATTTTGTTTTTGTTTGTTTGTTTGTTTCTCTTTCTTTGTTTTTTAACTAACTTTTTAAGACAAATGATCGACGTGAAAACATTATATTTACATTTATCATTGCATGATAAACAGATGCTATATTCAACGTTTACTTAATAATGCGTTTTTTTTTTACTTAACAATAATCAGTTATAAATAAGTTTATACGTTATACGTTAATTGCTACAAAATTTATTGAAAATTTTTTCCTTCTTCTTTTTTCTTTGTTGCGTAATATTGAAATGAATTCAGAAATATATTATAAAGTTAGATAAATATTGTGCTGTCAGTGATTTGTCATTTTTCGGATGAAAAAAAATGAAGCAAATTGAGGAAATTCATGAAGGCTTGTTTCCTTCCAGAAATATAAATCATAATAACTCTGAAATGTAAATTCCTGGAAATTCCATCGAACAATTATGCCACATTAGTAGGAAATTGTATTCCTTACGTGTTGAATTACGTTATATTAAGTATTTGATTAATGAATTGATTCATCAATTGATTTATATTTGAAATAAATATTAACTCCAAAATTTCTCATGTTATGATAACTATTGGAAGCGGACATCAAATATTAGTATTTTAAAATAAGTATTCATTGATTATAAAATTTTATATTTTCAAAAATTTTTCAAAATTCAATTACTAATAAATTGATTAAGTTGAAGCTTAATATCATAATTATGATTAATTTTTGGTTGTTTTCATGACACTAAATGAATAGAGACTTCATGTTTCAAATGATGACTATGAGAAAGATTAGGAAGCAGGTGTTAATGATAGTGGTTCTCGTTTATGGTTCATGTAATCGTAAAGACAAAACAGAACATACGCATACATCGGATTATGGCGCAAAATGTTAGCAAAAAGCTCGATGAAAAATACGCAATAATTGGAAAGTCAATTGTTAATTATCATGCAAATGTGCAGTTGTTCTTAATATTCATCCTTTTCATCGTTTCACTTCACCAACACTTCGCGGCTTCCTTTCATTTAAATGAATTTTTAAAAAGGAGAGAGAGAGAGAGAAAAAAAAAAAAAAGCAGGAATATGTTCATTAAATTTATAGTTAATGTTAATTAAATTAGGATGGTTAATTCCATTTAATTTTTTTTCCCTTTTTTTTTTTTTTTTTTTTTTTTTTTTTTTTAAATCAGACACATTTCATATAAAAACTTACAGGATCATTAATTCTCCATCTTCTATATGATTTTTTTTTTTTTTTTTTTCATTATGGTACAGTATTCATTGAGAAAAGATTTAGTGACTGATTATTTTCATTGTAAAATGATATGTTAATAAACTAAAATTGTTTGTCATAAATTAAAGAGCATCATATGTTATCATATTAGATGTGAAATGCTAACTGTTTCCACAGCTGCTTGGTTAATTAAATAGCGATCTTTAGTGATTTTATTTGCATATATGATTTAGAAATTTAATACTTTATGTTTAAATGATTTTTGCAAAAGAAGAGATTGAATAAAAACTATTATTTCAATTTTAAAAATTGTTTAAAAAAAATTTTTTTTCAGACAAAAACAAAATTCATCCATTTCCGTTTTAGTTTGCTTGATTTTTACTTCCTTTTCTTTTTTCGTTTTCTAATTATTGTTAAGAAAATATTATTCGTAACAATAACAATTAAAGATTGATTTCATTTCACTTTTTTTTTCTCTCTTGATGAAAGGAAAGTAAGGGGGAGAGAAAGAGAAGATGAAGGTAATGATTGAAATATGACTGGTCTCAGGATGACCTCCAAGAGGTGTGAAGAAATGATGGATAATATTGATGGAGGATAGGTGAAGGTAGAAGTAGTAAGCAAAGAATGAAATGTCTTCACCGCAATGTGCCGTTTTTATTGGCCATTTAATATTTATCAGTGGTAAGGATCATCAGACACATAAATAAATTTAAGTGAAACCTTTGAATAAATGATCAAATTTGGGGAATGAAAGAAGTGAATGCTACAAGTCGTGATATACAATTTTACCCTCCTGCTGCTGTTACTGCTGCTATGTTCAAGGTCAATAGCCTTCAATTCTTTCATTTTAATTCTCAGTCATTTTAATCTTTTGTTTAATGCATACCTGAAAATGAAATCTTATTTGTTTGATTAATTATTTCCCTATATTGGAAAATGTTTCAATTGATT